TTTTTTCAAAGTCAATTTTACCCCAGAGCAAAGCATGCCAAGTCCCCAATTCAGCCTTTTTTCTAGGTCAGCATCTTCTAGTACGGGGCCACAAATTCTTGGCATCTCATGAGATCTTCAGCTAGCCCACAGACTGTCCTCAGCACAAAGCTCAAAGCAGTCCAGCTCAGTGACAGCTGCACCAGCGCTGCAGGCTCTCCCCACCGTGCACATCAGTTTACCAGATAAGACCATCATGACGTGACAGAGTAGTATCTGGCCCTGCCTTTATGGGATCTTCCTTGAACAAAACACCTACATGCAGCAATCCCTTTGTGAGGCTCTGTGCATCTGAGCCAGAAGGGCCAGATGTTAGTATCAAAATGGTCCCATATGAGTTATACCTCTATTGACTCCTTTAGGGAAAACACATTTTAAATGGGTGTCAGAGAAATGAATTTCTCTGAACCTTGCTGATTTGAGCTCTCATATTGTTTGCTCAGTAGCAGCAAAATGGACTTGTAACGCACAGCCCTGGTAGCACAGCCTCCGGTGACTCTTTACCACCCTGCTGTTTGCTTCTTCACCTTCTGGATCTGCTCACTTCTCCAGGGCTGCAGGCACCCCCTGCCTCCCGCTTCAGAGCACGGGCTGTGCCGCTTCGCTCCCACAGCAGTGGGATTCCCATCCCAGCCCCCTGGGTCCTGTGAAGGCTTTGGGGCCAGACCCTGAGCTCCAGTATCAGTGAAGTCCCACTGGGCTCCCGCTGGGATATGCCATTTAGCACACAGACACAGACCTCACCTGGAACTCTAATACAGTTTACTGAGGCCACCATGTGCTGCAGCTAGTCTTCATAGGTATGTTGTGAGGTTTTAGAGCAGTTTTGTAATGCTTATTGTTAGGAACAGAATTAGGCCAACACTATAAGGTTGAATATCCACACTTAATCATTGTGAAACACAATAGAGAGAGACACAGTCAAGCCCTGTTGAAGTCAAAGAGGTTTTGGCATAATAATAAATTTCACATTCCTATGGCACAGTCCATGAAAACTTTTAAAGTCCAATTCCAGTGGATTTCAAGATTGGAAACTTTCCTATTTCTGTAAAGATAAAATACCTATTTTTAAGCTTAAGACCTCTTCCTGTTGGCCCAATCCCCTTTGGACCAATTGATTACATGCGCTAAGCTTTTCCAGCCTACAGATTCTCTCCACATTAACATGGGTCGGTCATTATTTCTGGTTATATCAACACTTGATACAGATCAGAGTCAATGGAAGCTTAGTGCATTTGCCGAGAACGTCTAAGGCTTCAGCCTTTGTCTGTGTTTTTTTCTTACGCAAGTGCCTGGGACCTAGTGAATATTCTCTATATACTCTTTAGCACACTGAAGTTTATTGTTTTGGCAGCCCTTTCTTGGTCTAATCCCAGCCTATGTATCATATTCCAATGAATCAAATTTGTCTTCTCCTTTTTGCTTCTGGTTCAGTTTTCTTCCCCACAGTTTTCTCTGTATGTGGGGCTGAGAAATGGCAATATCATTTAGCGTGCTCTGATCTGAACCTCCTGCAGCAGGCATGGATGATCTGCTGCTTCCAAAAAGGCAAATCACACAGCAGATCCCTGGGGGTGGGCGAGCTGGGAATGATGACCTGTGCTTATGCTGCCTATGTACCATATTCCAGTGAATCACACTTTTCTTTTCCCCGCTCCATTGCCTTCACTGCCATCCTGCTCAGCTGCATCCCTCTAGCATCCTTAGTGGCTGGAGGGTCACCATTTACCATCTTCTTTAGGGACAGAGACTCCAAATATAAAAGGCCTTGTTCATTATTTACTGATGTCTTTTTGCTCCTGGAGGTCATCTTTCAACTCAAAAAGAGGATTTGTAAGAGATGCTGTTGTCTATTAAAATAATAAACGGTTCAAAGTGTCTCCTGGAGTCTGCTAGTGTTTCTGGTGCCGCTGTCTAACTGGGGGAAAGCATTTGTGCTTATTTTGCACATAAAACCGTCTGTAAATTTTATTTACGCATATTTCAGAAGTCAAATGTAACCTGAAAGAAAGCTCTTCTATAAAACATGTTGAAAACATATCTCTAAATTTACCAGTGCTAGCTAAGGAGACACATTTTATTGTCTATATTTCTGTCTGCCAGTCAGGAATGTTTTGGCTCCAAGAAGGACAGGCAATTGTGCCTGTTTTTGAAGAAATCATGTTTCTGAAAGACATTAGAGAAGATACGCAAAAGCAAGCAAGCAAGTTCTGCAACACAACTGCTACGAGATTGCCAAAGCAAATGCTGCTAAAATTTGATTTTTCTGAGGAATGCATGACTTCAGAGAAGTCTGTCTTTCATGAATCATCATCCTCTGTGTTTTTGTCTGCGACAAAGTTCAGAGAGTCTGCACTAGGCATTTCAGCCCAGCTGCTCTGAAGCACTTGGACCAGACTGCGTTTGCCTCTGAGGAAGGGAAGTGTTCACCGAAGAGGCAGAGCTGAGGATATGTAACACATCCTTAAAGATAACAGCCATTCTGGAAAAAAGCTCTGGTTAGGCAAAAGTGTCTTTTATTAAATAGGTCAAGGAAAGGTTGTTAGAGTCTGAGCTTCCTCCGGGCAACGAGGATGCATATGGGTGGCCTGACTCATCAGTGGCCAGTTACACGAGCAAAGCAGTTTCCCTCATACAAAATGAGAGAAATACCCTGAATAATCAGAGTTTTTTCAGGAAATGTAATTGTATGAAGTCTGTGGGAACCTGAATAGGTTCAAATCTCCTTAGCTTTTTCCAGCAACAAGCTTTGTGATGTGTTAGGGATAGGCTTTTCAAAATGTTATTGAGAATAAATAGCGATAAAGCTAAAGGCAATGTCTGCTCTTGTATGATAAAATATAAAGAAAATAGTTATAATGCCCAATCTGGCTGCACTGGCAGAACATTGATTTTCTGGATTGCTGTAAAGCCAACGAATCTGAAAGATACAGATAAATAGAGAGATGTTTCAAGTTTTGTATCATACTGAGGCGGTTCTTCTATGAGTAAACTCATATGTTTACCTCAGGAAAGTTGCCAGAAATCACTAGTTCCTTGGATATTTGTATAAATCATGTGAATCACCCTTTTCAGCCAAGGCTAAAGCTGCAGAGGCAGTTTGATTAAATTATTGATTGTATCTGTAAAAGCCAAAGAAAGCATATCTATGGAAAGAAGCTTGTTTTATCAAGCTCAATATTTAGTAGTCATTTTCTGCATCCAGTGCCAAATGGCGGATGTATTTATATTCTTAATTAGGTAATCATGGCAGCTTGTTGAAGGAAATGGTCTACCTTAAATGCAATATTGTGCCATCTCAGATTTTAGCTCTTGTAGATCTTGACATTTCATTTTGATCATAATGATGATTATCTCCAGCTACAATCTCTCTTTTCATATTAAACATTTCAAAATGTTTTTGTTGAAATAGACATTCAGTTTGTCCACTCTTGAATTTTCTGGAAGATTACAGATTTGAAGCTGTATATTCAAGTCAGAGAAATCAAGAAATAAGTGCAAGTAAAAGAGTGAAGAACTCCTCAGCTCTACTCATCATGCCTATAGTGCATGCCTATAGTGAAACAGTGTAGTGATGACACAGACTTTAGAAAACATTTGTCGTCATTGTGCAGAGTTTAATCTGACAGGCAGAGAGATGAGTCTCAATATGAATTGGTAACATCCTGAAAATAACAGAAGAATTATTAATCTCTGCTTAACACATCTCAGCTCAAGGATTTTATCTCATGTAGTCAAGGACTTGCTATAATTAAAGCTAAATTAAGAAACAGATGAAACAGACTCCACTAAATAATGCCAAAGAGCTTGTAACAGGGAGTCTTTGCACTTAAATTAAGGCACATCTAATTACTGTTCTTCTAAATGTCATCCTATGGTACTTCCTCTGCCTCAAAGTCCCATTAGTCTGTAGACACTTCCTAAATGCGATAACACATTATTGACGTGTTAAGACCCATGGGGTGGTGACTTTTCTTCATCTCAAATGATAACAGCTGATACTTAGACAATAAAAAGTCAACTGCTTTGTACTTGAATTTCATTATATATTACACAGCCAATCCAGATTCCATCTGAAAAACCATCTGAAGGTCTTGATGTCCCAACCAGTTTTCACAGGTCTAAATTTGTATTTAATCTTCAGAAAAATTGCATATTGAAATATATTGTTTTCTATGCTGATCAAGAAAATGAGTTGAATTTTTTTCTTGTCGTTGTGGCACGAAAGTGCCCTCCTATTCCATGAAACCAAACATTTTTTTATTTGGTAGTTCCACACCAAGCATAGAGCTTTTCAAGAAAGAGACATTCTATGAAAAAAGAGAGATTGAAAACACTGCAAATCAGTGCAGTATATTGATTGGCATCCTTAACTAGACAGGAGACCCAGGGTCAAATCCCTGCTGTTATTGAATTTCACACTTGAGTTTCACTCTCCCAAAAGGGAGGCAAGGGAGGAGAGGAAAAAAAAGGGGATGAGAAGGAATGGGAAATAAATTCTCTAGACAGCTGAAGAAATTTTCATTGAGCCAACATGTTCCTTCAATAAACGGGGTTTCTCTGGCCCTTGCAGTCTCAGAGGGTCACCAATGTTCATGCAGAGGCAGCGAGCAGGGAGGGACAGTGTGGGGCACGCTGGGGAGAAGCAAGAGTGAATGGGATAAGGGGAATGACAGGATGATACTAGTGTGTCTGTCAGTAGACATTTACCAAATCCAAACTATCTTTGTTTGAAAGTTGAGAAGGATGAAGAGTAACAGAGTTAGCAGGTAAACTGAGAGTTCTGCTACAAAAGTAGAAGTATTTAACATCATAATCTTTAAGTGTCTTGATCAGAGTATGCTTCTACATATAAATTAGTCCAAAGAGTTAGTTTTTTAATAGCTTCCTCTTCAACTGCATGAATAAAAAGAAAAACTATAAATGAAACTAAGGCATTTTCCATTTCTTCATTGTTTCAGATGATGGAAAACTGTCCTTTGATGAATTCAGAGCTTACTTTGCTGATGGAGTTCTGAGTGGAGAAGAACTGCATGAACTTTTTCATGCTGTCGATACTCACAACACTGAGTAAGTGTCCCCTTCTGCAAAGTGCTACATTCTTTATTTGAGAATGGAAACAATACATCAGTCTGTTTTTAGAAAACAAGTTTAAGAAGGCGGCTGCTTCGGGGAAGCTAAACTGTGTCATACTGCTCTGCACTGTATGATTGCAGTGCTTCTAAGCCTTGTAGAAATATGTGCGTGTTCTGATGAATGTGATTTTGGCATTGAAAACATGGGGTGGAAACTAGATGCCTTCTGCATTCCCCTCTCATTACAGTAAGGAAGAGGGGCTGTGGCCTCCTCCAGCCCTCAAATATGAATTCTTCCTCCTGATTCTTCACTGATTCATTACCTAAGCTGAGTATCTGGATCAGATGTAGGGCATGCAAAAAAAAAAATAGCTGAAGCAATCAGGGATAGCAAAGAGCAGAAAAGGTCATCCTGTCTGATGCTGGCATGGGATCCGAGTTGCTGTTGTCACTTTTGCGATTTGGATGACCCCGTTACTGTTGGGCTTAATGAGGCCACAGGATGTGGGTACAAAGGAGCCTGCTTGTTGTTTTCAGCGCTGCATCCTCTGTTAAGCTATACTTTTCCCTATCTACCATGATTGAAGAAGATAATGAGTTGCCTTTTATTTGCTTTCTGGCCATCAACAATTATTCACAGCAGGTCTTCCACTTACTACTAATTAGGAGAGTGTTACTAATCCAGTGCCTTTTAAACTGGGCCATTTCCATGGTACAAAAACTCCCAAGGAGATGTCATTTATTGCCTTTCCTAAGAAGTCATGAAGATGTTATGTAGTGATCAGGGTTGTAGTTCTGTTTAAAAGCAGTGAATACACTGTAAATCCATTTTGCTTTTCTCAGCTGCATACAGCAGAGCAACGCATGTTAAAATGCTATTACAGTCCTGCTTTCTGTGTTTACTATGCAGAAAAGCTAGGAGTAGTGTAACAGGACCTGGCTTTACTTTGTCCAGTGCCAGCCTCCACTGCATCCTTGCAGTTTTTTTCCTCTTCCACAGGAAAATAAAACCAGCACTCTCATATTTTGCCATTACATGTACATTTACATGTACATAAACATCCAGACACTAACACAAAGTGAGAAATTACTAGCCTTCTTCCTAAATTCATTAATTTAGCAATCAATCACCTTAATTCCTTGAGGCTTGCACATTGGTTCAGGTAACTCCAGATAAGCCTTTCTCCTTGGCCATTTCTTCCTAACTGTGAATCTCCTATGGCTTTTTCTCCTTTTGATGTCTGAGTCACAACATCACACCTTACCTCATTCCTCTCTCCCTCAGCCTCTGCCACTCCTCTTACTGCTGATGAAGCAAACTCCCTCTGACTGGCGTCCCAGTTCCCAAGTGACTGTTGTGCGTCTTCTGCCCTAAATGCCAACCCAAACCCAAGCCCATGATCCTGGAAGCACACTGATGACCAGATGTTGAGGCTAACTAACTGTTGAAATGCCAAATCCCCCAGTGGCAGAAGGTCTGAAAGTCCAGCTGATGGCTTTTGCGGGAAATATCTCAAAGTTCGTTCTTCCAAATGAGCCTCGCTTAAGGCCTTGTGTGCTTGGAAACTTGTCAATTTTGTCCACCTTCATCAGTTAGTCTAATGAAATATAGTCTCTCTCTTTACAAATCTGGCCTCCCTTCAGTCTGGACGGAATTATTAAACCACTACAGCTTTTCATAAAAGCATCTTATTTAGCAAAGAAATCAAATAAAATCTGATTAATATTGTACAAATAAATTCTAGAAAAAAATATATCTCACTTTTTGATCTTTTACAAACAGCTTTCACTGTGCTTCTGTAAAACAGGCAAAACCTCAGCAGGATCGATAGATTCAAGCCAGAACAAAGTGGAAGTAAAGAATAGATGTCCTTATCCCAAGGCCATCCTAAAGCATCCACTACACCATCCCGTACTGAAGAGTATCTCAGTACTAAGACACTGTGAAGACGGAGGATCAGCTTTCCCTGATATATCATTTCTATTAGCAGACAACAAAGGAGAAAAAGCAATATGAACGAGTTGCGCTTTAATGTAAGAAAAGAAGAAAGAGAGTGTCATATTTCCCTAATTTGTCAAAAGTACTTGATACTCTTATTCAGAATGGGAAGCTGTCAGAGAGCTGTGGACTTTCTCTTGTTACCACATAGGTGCACCAGGGCAGTTTCATTTTACTGTGATTCCATTTGTCTGCATTTGCCAGGGAGCATCCTGACGGCGGCAGATGTCCGTGATGATTGTGTAGGTTTTCTAAGAAAAAAGATAGCTGTTATAACTCTATTTTTCATTTATTTCTATTTGTAACAAAACAAACAAGCATTTTCTCTTTACCAGAGAGTGTGTTAACCTGAAGAATATGTAGAAAAGTGAGAATAGCATTATGGTTTTCCTACTGGGAGGGAGACAGGCATAACATGAGAACAGAAGGGACTTTGTCAAATGCTACAGTTAATAGCTGAGAACAGGCAATGAATCTGGCACAGCAGCCATCTGAGAGAGAGAGATTTCTCACCGTCCAGCTAAAGCCTGTCAGAAAGCAAAGCACAAAAGGTTGCAGAGAATATATACTGTGAATGAATGCAAAGTATTAAACTTTGATATACTGCGGGGAGTTGAACAGGTCGAAGTCTGAGAAAACCTACTTAATTACGTTGTTCAACCAGAAGAAAGGGCCCTTTCTTTTGACTGGTGAACATTTATTACAGAGCAGAGCCTAGCTGTAGCTAGTAAGAAAATAAGCTTACATTTAAAAAAAAAAACAATAAGAAGCTTTCTGAATGTTTTTTTCATGATGTCTTTAATGGATAAAAGGCTTAATGCCTGACTTTTTGCAACTGAAAAGCGTTCTACACCATTTGATCTTTCCTTTTAACACAAGTGCCGCAAATAATACATTTTGAAGGCTTTCCTTAGACCCTTTTGCCTTTGAAAACGTTGTCCTCAAGCAGGCAGCAAGATGGAGCAAGCCAAATATCAGATGGATATAGCAAAGAGAGACAGCTTGGACAGTATAATATAAATTCTTTGTTAGTATAACTTTCCAGCAAAAATCACATGAAGCAGATATAATAAGGAGGCCAAAACTTTACTCACTGGCACTTGCTGAAAAGGGCAGGTTACATAAAATGTCTCAAATCGACTAGCTGACTAAGAAAAGGAGTAAAGCATTCATTGAACCTTAGGAAGCTTTGTAATGCAAGCATCAGAAGAACCATGTGCATATCAAACAGTCCTAAAACCATCTATTATGTGATGCTTTCACTTACAGATTGCCCAAGGGAATGAAATGAAAATCCTGATTTGTGATTGTAATTTCTAAGTCGCTTATGGCTGTTTGCTAGTAGGGAAGGATGAGAAATTCTACTTAGTTGTGTAGAGCAGGAGAAAATTTGCGCAGGTTATTCTGTCTTTTATATCCAGCTAAACAGACTCTGACAAACTGTGGGGGAATCATGATTCTTTTCTGTGCTTGAGTTCCCTATTTACAAAATGAAGGCTATGGTTCCCTATCCCACAAATGTGTTGCAAGCATTGAGATTACTCAGTGTCCGTACACCACAGTGATTTACACTGCATGTGAGTGTCTAGGGTAGATAGGTAAGGACGTATGTCATGATCAGCCGGATCGCTCTGGAGTATCTCAAGCTTTCATAGCCAGTTTGTCACAAGAGCAGACTTTGGGTTGTTTCCATTTGCAGTACATGTTTTAACTCTGCCAGCTTTCAAAACCCCACTCTCTGTGTATGTGAGTCTTTGTACTTCAAAGCCTGAAGACAAAAAAAGAGTGGTGGCCTCAGGTGATCTCCATGGACTGCAAGCTTGGGAAATCTGTATTCCATTCTCAGCTCTGCTACAGCAAGCTTTCAAAAAAGGATTGGAAGCATAAAATACTGCCACTGGCTTAATACTTTTAAGTGAGCTAAATTAACCAAGTATGAAAAAACCCCTGTTACTCAGGTCCTAATGTCAGACTTGTGGAAGAAGAGGATTAGAAGATTTTTAAATTTTAAAAAGATCAAGCCAAGCCCATTTAACATATCTGTTACAAAGCATACAGGCTATGACACACTGTTAAAATGAGTAATTGCCTTTTGCAATAGTGAGGCAAATAATAGGAGATTTAACTTTCCAGTAACTGAGGTCTCGTCTGCCTAACTGACTATGTTCTCTGCACCTTCTTATCTCTTTACAAAGTAAAAGAAGAGTCAATTGCTACTGCAGTGGCCATAATTACCAGGAAAAAAAGTTGTGTAGGAATTAGATATTACTGCACAAAGCTTCGAAAATGGCAAGTGGCAATCAAGGTCATTATAGTGGGAAAAATTGATTGATACTTACCCATGTAACATATTCATACAGGATGAATTTAGATTTACCACTCATCTAGACCCTGAAATACAGGTCATTCAGCCTGAGCAGATCATTGCTTTTATCTGCAATTTATATTAGTTAACGATCTTTCTTTAGTACATCATTTGGGCATATATCTTTCAATTTATGAATGTGCTTATATATAGACTGGATAATTTTCTCTCTCTCTCTTTCTCTATCTGCTTCATAAAATCAACATTACATTTTAATAAAGTTTTAAAAATTAAATAAATCTCAATAGAGGCACAATATACAAGACAATTGCTTGATGATTTTAACCTCCATTATTTTTTTCCTTTTGATAGAACCAGAAAAAAATGTATAAGCAAATATATACCAGATACAAATCAGATTAATAATGGTGCTATTACTATACAGGCAATCAGATTAGGTGAAGTAGCATGTCCATTTAAAAAAGAGTAATTTTTCCCCATGTTTTAGCACTACTACAAATTTTTACTTGTCTTGGCAATATTTTAATATAATGATTATACTGTTAAGAGCTGACTATCAAAAAGATAAATTGTAAACAATTTGAATTACTGAAGGGACCTCTGTCCACTGAACGATAACACTTTATAATAATTAGTTTGTAGGCCAACTGTTACATGGAAATTTGCCCCC